CCGTAAAAAAGTCAACTTAATAATGCTGAACACTTACGGATCAATGAGTCAATCCATTTGAAATCACCCAGACCATTTTGCTCAATATTTTAGATTTTTATGATTTTTTTACCTGTCATTTCATATTTATTTCAGAGTTCAAAGCCATCGTTACATTTTTTTAAAGCTTACAGTTTTTTCTCGGCGGTCATTTTTAATTTGATTTTCCACTGAAAACATGTTTTGGGAAAATGCCTGAAATTCTGTCAATTTTGTAGATATCGAAACAAAATAAAAACTGAAATAATGATGAGTATTTTGTCTACATATTGTTTATTAATACATTTCTAAAAAAAGAAAAGCAAGTTTGTTTGTTTTTAAATTCATGAAAAATAACAAAAAATGAGACTTTTAGGGTTGTTTTTTTTTATTGATGATATTTACAACTGTATTACAAGTAAAAATACATTCAGTAAATGTGAACAAAAGAATATAATAGCATGAAATCACTTGTTGAGAAACTACCCATTGGTATCACTCTAAAAATGTATTTACAAAAGGAGATCTCGAGGCCATCTTATTTTCAGACGCCTCGGAGGTTTGTCAAGGATCGAAAAGGAAGCAAGGTTAGAAACGAGAGGGTTACGATGGTTTTGAAGTTAGTTATGGAATGATAGGTATTTGGATTGGGCCAGGTCAGAAACAGAAGGAACATTAAGGTCGTTATGGATAATTTTGTTTGTGACAAAGTAAGGAGCTGTGAGGATTTTACAAAGGATTTTGGATTGTAAGGATTGGATACGAGAGGAATTCGATGGCTTAGTGGAGCCCCAGAGCTCAATTCCGTAAGTCCAAATAGGTCTTATTGTAGTCATGTATATGAGTCTTTTGTAATTGACTGAGAGCTTAGAGCGTTTGTCTAGTAAGTGCTGGAATAGTCGGAAACGTCGAGCTGTTTCTTGTTTCAGTCTGGTATGAGGATTCCAAGTTAGACGTTTGTCCAAGTGGAGTCCAAGGTATCGAATTTGTTCAACAGGGATAAGTGGGGTATTATTAAAGGGTACTGTAGGACAAGAAAACATAGGTTTACGACGAAGGGTAAAGGTGATTTGATGGGATTTATTGGAATTTATTTTGATCCTCCAGTTTTGAAACCATTCTTCAAGGTTTGTGATGTGTGATTGAAGGGTTTGGGATGCAATTGTTGGGTCGTTATTAACTGATAGGACAAAGTATTAATAAAGGAGTTAAGTAAATGTTTATGAAATATCAATCTTGAAAACCTTGTCCTCTTTTAAATATAAATTTCCAAATACAGCCAAAAGGGAGTGAGTGAAAAATTATGAAATTGTTACAGTTTATACCTCCTTATGATAGAAACGTGGTGTGATATGAATTTTATTACTGAGACTCAGTTGGTTCTATTACTTATAGCACAACAAATATTTCTGCCTCTTAAAAGTCGGTATCAGCATTTTTGAAGGTATCAAAACAAAACAAAAATTAAAACTGATATGATGTTTTGCTATAAATTTTTTGTCCTCACAACACACCCCCTAAGTAGTCAGGAAATTCGTTAAAAAAATTGGTAACTATAAAATTAAAATTAGCATAAAACGAGACATTTAGCGTGGGCAAAAGTGTGATGATGAAAACAAGCTCAGCCGATCACTGTATTACTGGATGATGAAATTTCAATCTTAAAAAAAACGTTGTCCTTTTTCAGATATGGATTTTCAAATACAGCCGAAAGTCATTTTCGGCGAGTTTTGAATTTGAATATCATAAAATGGAGTGAGTGGAAAATTATGAAACTTATGTACATTTTATAACACTTTGTTATAAGAAAAAACAAATTAATTCAAATCGAGTGATTTCAAATGGATTGACCCTTACATATGCTTGGTTATTTTTTTTATTGTAAATTTTTATTTCGCATTATTTGTAGGTTTCGTATTTCTTCGATAGCGTTGCTAATATCAAAATTTCCAGCCATGGCGCTGTGAACCAGTAAACGTTCTATTGAGCCGGACGGTGTAAATTAATGAAAGGACAGAGTTTTATCAAAGAGCCCCTGAAAGTTAAGAGGGGCTGTAGGGAATGGGCCGTTAAAGTAAGGGATGAGGTAATAAAATAAAGGTGAATAGGGGCTTAGAGCACTCGCCGCATAAAATATCCAAGTACTCAACCCTTCGATGCCTTCTAGGTTCCTTCTGTCCATGGTCGCCAGCTGTTCTCTCTCAAAAATGATACATTTTTTATTTATTGTTATATACCAGTATACCCCAGTAGGATCTCCCGAATCAACGTGTCTACATGAGGAACATAGGAAATTTAATGGTCTCTCAAATTGATTATAATGAATTTCTTTTAGAGATGCTTAGATTATGAGTTTTGGGGGAAAACCGACGAAAACAGGCATTTCTTTAAAAAGAAAAAACAAACAGGCAACAATCTCTAACTCCTCTCTCTCTGGGTCTACATCAAAAAGCTACGTATAAAATTGATAGTAAATTTCTTCTACTTTAACTTTGTATATGATATCATTTTCGATAAAATGCATCGTTTCGGAGTCCGAAAAAAAAAAGTTTAGAAATTTCGCTGTTTTTGCAAATATCTCGAAACGCAATAAAAAAATTCGTTCGGGAACATCAAATTCAGATTTAGCATACCAGAAAACACGACGAAGAGAAACCTACTATTTGAATTGCTTCCACATCCAACTACCATCCGACAGGTCTAATTTAATGACTTCTATGCGTCAGTTTTCAAAACGCAACCGAGTACCTCGTCAGTCAAGTTGAATTCTCTTTTAGGAATATGTTGTTGACATCATATCAAAATTTCAGTCGTCAGTTAGAACGTTAAATAAACCGTCAAATTTCGCCTCTTTAATATAAATTTTCTCGTAGAAAGCAAAGGCTTTCAACCGACTGGCCGTAGTTATGTGTTTAGATGATTTTTATTGAAAATTTAAAATGGTTACTAGCTTTAAGTCGTTCCGTCAAATGAAGTGATCGGTAGCTCCTAGTCTATTACTCTAGTAACGGGACTCACTAGTGTCCTGTAAATGTCAATTCTTTTTCTCAGTCAAGTAAGAGGGTTTTAATTAAGTCTGCCAATTCATAGGTTTGTGAGTAAGCCCAACGAGAATTATCGATTCTGAGCAGGGCTTGAAACGGAAAAAAAAACTTTTATTTTAAAAAGTTTCGGTTTCACCGGAATTTTTATTCGGTAACTGGACATTTTTCCTTGCTACTTTTCATGTATTAAGTTTTACAGGACTTTCATTTAAACAAAATGTTTATTTAAGAGTTCTGTAGATTTCGCTAACAAGTATATCTAAAAAATGACTTTATTGACAGTTTCTCAAACTACTACATATTACAATCATTCGTGAATCATTTACGACAAATCTTAATTCTAATTTAAGCCCAATTGTTGTTGATGTTTTATTTAATTGACCTTTTTTTAAGAACTTTAATAAATACAAGTTATACTTTTACCAAAAACCAGGAACTGTTATGTTATCGTATCATAAAAAAATGTTAAAATGGAACTTTTTTTCTGAATTGTTTCACGGAAACTGTTTAAATGAAACTTTGTTCCCTAAATAGTTCCATGAAAACTGTTAAAATGGAACTTTAAAAAAAAAATTCAACTCCTGATTATGAAATCATTTTTTTTTTCAACTTTCCTCATGAATACTCAGGTTTCATATCTTCGGTACCAAAATAGCAAAGAGATAAAGTAAAATAAAATTATATTGCTGCTCAATTACGTTGACCAGGTTAATCGATAGTATTTAAGAAATCTACACAAATGGATAAAGTTTTACGGGACCATCATACTCATTACCGAATGTTATGGTTTTCTTGATCTTTTTCACCTTATTTTATTTTCTCCCGTTTGCTTTATTTTTTAGGATTTCCTATGAATCCAAACCAATAGTTTCCGCCATGTTGTGTAGTTGATTCCTTTCAGCGCCCAGTTTTTCAAACCAGTTAAAAGAGGAGTTGTCATCCTATTGCCGAATCAGAATTCCCAAACCTAAAATTATCTCTCACTAAATTCCTCTCTATATTTTTCCTGTAGGTATTTAATGAGTTTTTTTAATAAATATTCTTTAACTCTATTTGTATCTTGAGGATTCGTTCCTCCTGGTTCATTTAAAATCTGATTGTTGGATCTACTATCTTAATTCTTTTCCTTTCGCACTAAAGGTCCATATAGCTACGAATACTATTGAATCTTCCGTATTTCGACAATAAACTTTGAGAAAGTATGTATACTTTTCCGTATCCTGAAATTCAGCTATTCGATTATTTATTGTCAGGCTCTTCATTGGAAATCAACAGCCAACTTGCAAAAACTAAAATCATTCATAACACTAGGGAAACCATTTATTTTTTATTTGATGAACTAGAATTTCCGTTAAATTCTTATTTCACGTTAAGAAAGAAGTGTTATGTTTTAAATAACTTATTTGGTTTATATTTTTTATCATGCGCGAAGGCGATATTAACCAGAACAGCTCGAAACCGCACTTCCTTTCTATTTGTACTTAGTGAATTGTGATGAGTGTTGATGGATTGTTTTCTCAGCCCAATAGATCTAAGACTCAAGCTAAAACGTAAGCATCCAACGATATGATTTAACTTAGCTATATTCCTTAATTGAAATGTAAAGTGGATGAAGATTATAAGTTTTGAGTTCTGGAACATTTTTCGAATGCTAAGAAAACTGAAATCATCTGTATCAACTATAATCCAGGCCTGGATCTTCAATTTACATCTCTTATAAAATTAAAACATATTAATCGGTTAATTATTTAATTTATGTGCGTTGAAGGATAGAATATTATCATTTTATCCTCAACAGTAATTCCATTTTTCCCATGATTTCACTTTATCCACTTGACAGACGAATTGAAGGATTAAGGATAAAAAAGTACTTTTTTCTGCATTTTATTTCTTAGTCATTGGTATTCCCTGTGAATCGCCATGGCCCTTCCTTATACCATGCCCCTAGCCCTGTGCCCTCTTAAAAGGAGTTTTGAGTCGCCCTTTGAGGAAAAACCAGTTGTTGCTTTGCCCAACCTGTAGCGAATTTTGTCTGGAACGGTTTAATATAACTTGAAAGGAATCATTTATGGCTGACCTACATTCCCTTAGGTAGCAGCTATTGTGGTATATCACTACGTTGGTTGTCTTTATTCATGGAACTTCGAAGGTCATTTTGTCCTCTGGATATTTTCCTTTTTATTTAATTAATATTTTTATATATATTTATTAATTATTTTCTTTTTCCCATAGGCAGGGTACCATGATGGACCTGAGCCACAGCCTCGTCCTCAACGAAGAGGCTCTAGCTCAGATCCCGGAGCAGAAGCGACCCGTCTTCATATTCGAGTGGCTGCGGTTCTTGGACAAAGTCCTCGTCGCAGCTCAGAAGGTAAGTCATCCTATACAATAATATTTATTTAATGTCATCTTAGAGAAAATAAATCAGATGTTCGGGAAAATGTCGGCTGTTCTATCTATCCCAACAAATAAAATGTTATTAAAAAAGTACACTGACCTTTCCTATGCATTTCTGACTATACCAGATATGTTTGCATTTCAACCTGAAACCATTGGTGTTCTAATTCTTGTTATGGAGTTCTTTTAAGTAATTTTATATATTATTATTTCAAAACTGCTTTTGAAAAACAATCCGAAAGAAAAATAAGTTATTGTAATATATTAATTCAACTCAAAATTGATATTTCTATTTTTGAAGGAAGCAGATGGTCCGGGGTGGCGGTCATAAATAGGCTAAATAGTTGTAAAACTATTTTCATTAAAAGCCAGGCTTTTAATAACCATAGTTTTACCACTATTTAGCCTATGTATGACTGCCACCCCGGACTATCTCCTTCCTTTATAATGCAACGGTCAACTACTAAATATTCAATATTTCTATTTTTAGGTAAAAAGCCCCCATATACTTCAATTTTAGGAAAAATCTAGGTACAAATTTATAGCACACAAATTTTATATCAATGTTTTTATAGTGAAGAAGATAGTCCGTGGTATAGACTTCTTTTTTATCAAATTATTAACATCTGTCTGAATCTTCGTAAATAGCTTCATCTCATTGTAACTTACAAATATTTTATTTACGAAAATTCTTGGAATTTTAAATCTGGAGTTCGGCAAACTTTGTCTATTTAATTAGGTACTAAAAATTCGTAAATACCCATTTGCTTTCCACTTGGATCGTAAGATAATTTGATCGCAAAATCGATAAAAAAAGGTGGCCTGAAAAAATATTGGAACGTTTGGCCTGTATAACCTCGTTGTTTTGACAGTTTGTGGATTCAGATCACGTCAAACGGCTGAATATTTTTGAAGGCGGTCCTTTTTCTCGACTTCGTGGTAAAATTATCTTACAATTTAAGTGAAAAGAAAATGGCTATTTACGAGTTTTAGTACTTACTTGAATAGACAAAGTTTGCCGAGCTCCATTGAAAACGCCCCAATTCCGAGAATTTACGTAAATAAAATATTTGTTGGCTACGATGAGATGAAGCTATTTACGAAGTTTCAGGCAGATGTTAATAATTTGATAAAAAGGGGTCAGCACTACGGACTAAGAGTCTATTGATAATTTAAGTTCGCCTTATATCGAAGTATCACATTTGGTTTATGTGTGAAATTAGAAAAGTTTGATACTCGGTCTTAACATTTCAATTTAGAGAATAAGTATGGTCGATTCATTCAATTGTTGATTCATTGATGCCGAGTCATTGTTGATAGTTGATTCATTTTTAGAGAAAGATTATTTTTAGAGGTCAGTCCTAAAAAAGACCTAATTAATTTGTTTGTATTATGACAGATTAACAAATTAGGTACCATTCTATAAAAGTGATAACACTATTTAATGCATAAAACCTGTGAATTGAAAATTGATAAAAAAAATATCAATATTTTTGGTTTATTATGTCCAATAATAAGCCTCTATATTTCGAAGTGGGGAACTCAGTGAGTAAGGCATTGTGTCCTTAGCTCCGTGTGTGTTCCGGGTTTGAGTCGAGCTTTGGCAGATAGTTCTATTCATTCTATTAAATTAGTTGAGTGTTATAATCTAACCTTCAGGATACCCTCCTGGATTCAACCCTCCTCTGCAAAGTGGATATAATTCATTAAGTAATTATACGTATATATATTATATAAGTAACTATTCATACGTATATATAGTTCCTTTTTTACCTTTATACCACAATTATTCCTGAGATTTTATTTTATCTTAGTGTTTGCTTATTATTTTATGAATCACTGTAAATATTATTACATTTTGTATTAAATTATGTTTCTATTAGATAGCTATTATTTATAAATTGTGCAGTTATGTATATATAGATATGTAATTTCTTTTCTGTCTTTTTTTTTCTTTTTTTTTTTTTATCGTAATAATAAGTAAATTTGGAGAAGATTGTATGTTCATTTATGTATGTATTTATGTGTATGTATGTATATATATGTGTATGTATGTATATATATGTTTATGTGTGTGTATGTATATATATGTGCGTGTGTTTATATATGTGTATATATATATATTTTTTTTGTTTATTTCTTAGTGGTTACATACTACTTTTTAAATAATGTATATTACGTTAGAATTTTTTTAAGTTAGTTTTTGGCCAGATTGGTATTTTATTTTGTATTAATTCATCTTTGTTATTCTAAGGGGACTTAGTCCCTGAATAAAGTTCTATTTTCTATTCTATTCTATTCTAATTAAATAAGCGGAAAAAAACTGTTGATTGAGCGTGATCTTCTTCAAATTATCTCCTTGCACAACCGTTGACCAAGAAACAGTTCTTTCCTACAAAGTACTGAGTCCAACACTCTGTTGTAATAGTGCAGATAATAAAAGAAAACAATAATCTGACTTGGTAATCGATAAAAATAAAAAAAATTAACTCTCCTTCCCTCCAAAAAAAAATTCGTCCAAATGTTTTCTAGGATACTGGTCCGATTTGTTTTAAATTTTTTTTTTTTTTGATTCGCCTTTAGTTAAGTTATTCCAGGAACTCGGAACATTATCATTCGTTAACTGATAAGACATTTCATGCGCCCATATCTCTGTAATATATGCAAATATACACAAAATATAAACTGTTTTATGCATATACATCAACAAATCCATTTTTTTTTTTTCGTTTGGTTTAACCCTCCTTTAATGTTTGTTATTAGAATTTTATATTTTAAAAAATAAACCATTGCATAATTTTTATTTATTCGTTACAATCAAATATATATGTATATATATTTGGATTACTACCTTGGCTCTCCCGTAGATCAGTATGGACTCCTGCTCCGTACAGTAACTCTTAACTAGAGCAAGGTCATTCCTGTTTGGAGTAATCGCATTCGGGAAGTCAGTTAAAATTAGTCATCGTCCAACATTCCGTCTCAGTCAGCCTTCCATATCTGTCAATGATTCTAGTCATATCCCATTGTACTAATTTTAACTGAAATATTGAGGTTTAAAAGTGTTTTTGTTGAAAAATTATTATGCTTTATTTCTCTGAACTATGAAGCAGTTAAGTACTAACATATCAAGAATTTTTTATCGCAATGGTTCATTTTGTTAGAGGATCTACTTTTAACGATTTATTATATATTATAGAATTTCATTTATGTAGGAAGATTCTTTTAAAACAGAAACACCGGAATGGCCAGATGAACACGAGATTATCGAGAACCGAGAATTGTACGGGAAATTGGTTAAAGAAAAACGCCATGAAAAACATCATAAATCTATTATTATTTCTTTTTTCGTGAAATATTTGAGAAACAAAAATGAAATACACAAGATGAAGAATGAAGAGAAGAATAGTTGGGGTGGTCAGTCAAAAAAGAAGGCAAAAATAAATGATAATATTTATTTTTACATATGCCGACGTTTTATTTCTTTCTTATTTCAGCTTTCTCAATTTCTTCCCTCCTTCCTTTCATTCCTTTTCTCTGTTTTTAACTCTTTATTATATTATACATTGTCTGTACATCTTGATGGACTTTACAATATCTCAATTTTCTATCTAACTACTCCATTCTCAATGTCTTAATTTTACTATTTATTTTCATTTCTTATATAACTTCATATTTCTTTTTTTTTTTTTTTTTTTTTTATATTTTACATTTTATTTTAAGATTCCCATTGTAACACTTATGTCACCCTTTTTGATTATGCCTACTTCATCATTCCACACTTTGTAACGGTTATTATTATTTATCTCTTAGTTCTTAGTCATTATTCTAACAATTTCACTTTACTTTATATTTATTTATTTTATTTTTTTTTTATTTTTTTATTATTATTTTTTATAAATTTTATTTATTTATTTTTTTTTTTTTTACCATCACTACTTATGTTTCTCATACCTTGTTATCTGGTTATTTTCTTAGCCCTGATGAAGGACTGAACTTCAGGTCGAAACGTCGGCATATGTAAAAATAAATATTATCATTTATTTTTGCCTTATTTTTTGACTGACCACCCCAACTATTCTTCTCTTCATTATCCACGACAGTCAACCATTTACCAATTATGAAAATACACAAGATACTCTATATTTTGTTTGTTGATTTTAATTATGATGAAAAATAAATTTTTTAATACTGAAATAATGGATAGTTATATTTTATAAATGCATCAAAAATAGTCATTTAATTTGCCATATCGTGAAGGCACTATGATTTTCCATATTTTATTATACAAATGTATTTTCTTGAAATAAATGTATACTTATAAAAGTACTATGGGCTATCTCCTATCCGCCATACGGCTGACCAACCCCCATTTCACAAATTATACAATTGTTCATGTAATTACGTATCACTACTGTTAGTGCAAAAGGTCGTTGATAAAAACTGATTCTTTTTTCCATATGAGCACAAAAACTGATTATTTCTTTATGATTTATCGGTATAATTTTGTATTTCATTACCCTACTTATTGCAGTTGCAGACTACAAAATATCACTTATAACACAAATAAATTAAACATGTAAAACTGTTACATACGACTTTTTGCACTAACAGTAGTGATATGTACTGAGCTCCTATAACCTTCTGCTCTCCTAATACAAGGTAGAGATTTACGCCTTGGTTTTTCGTTATTGTACAACATATGTGTTGAGCTCCTGTAACCTGCTGATCTTCTATTACTAAATAGAAATTTACACTCTGGTGTCTTTGTGACGGTCCATCCCTTGTATATGTAAAATAAAATATGACAGTCACTAAAAACTTGTTTATACAATAGAAAAATATATATTTAATATAATTAACCACACAGTATAACAACGAAAACTATAATCCACGTGTATAAGGAACTATTTGTTCCTAAATTGGTACAGAAAAAGTTAGTGTTAAAAATAATTACTTTAGGTTTCATGTTATCGGATTCGCATTTGTTCTAAC